TCTCTTAGGGTCCTCTTTATTGTCTAGGTTCTCTGGGGTTATGGATTGTAGGCTGGTTTTTCTTTGCTTTATGTTAGGGCTTTTAAAACCAAAAAAAGGAATGGGAAGCTAGTCTAGAGACCAAAATGACTGAGCTGAATTTAGTTTAGGGCGGGACTATTTCATTGCCAATGACTTGTGTTCACAATGGTGTAGCATGAATTCTAATTGGTATTAATAATAGAAACCCAGAGTCAGATATTAGGGGGTGAAAGCCGAGAGATCAGAGAAGCGGTGCAGCCAGTTTACCTCTACCAAAGCCTCAGACAGAAGGGGCGATCGTGTTTCTGCCAATCCTCAGACTGCATCTCCAGACTGCAGTGAGCTCATGTCTCCTCCCGCCTCATATTCCTCTCTCTGCCCAGCCATATCATTCCTGTCTCCACCTCCCTCATGCTGGGATTAAAGGCATGGGATCCCAAGTGCTGGGATCACCTTTACGTGTGCTGTCTCTCTTGTAGACAGATTCAATCTCACATAGTCCAGAGTGTCCTTGAACTAACAGAGATCCCTCTGCCTCTTTCTCCTGAGTCCTGGAATTAAAGGTGTGTGCCACCACTGCCTGGCTGAGCTCTGCACTCTGATTTTCAGACAAGCTTTATTTGTTATGACACAAACAAAATATCACTACACGATAGGTTAGGCATTTCTATCTGGACTACTGTTCTCACGGGCATGGGGCTGGGTGAGTAGGATTCAAGCACTTGTGTGTGGGGCCACGTGTCTTTCCTTCTGAGAAATCATTGTTTTCTGTCTTCCTTCTCTGGCCAGGTGCTGGACTGGATTGAAAACCACGGTGAGGCCTTTCTCAGCAAACACACTGGGGTTGGGAAGTCCTTGCATCGAGCACGGGCACTACAGAAGAGGCACGATGACTTTGAAGAAGTGGCTCAGGTAATACACTCTGCGTGTGTGTGTGTGTGTGTGTGTGTGTGTGTGTGGTGAATAGAAACATGTTGGGTTGAGAGTCTATGTCTGCGGTTCTGTCTTCCTGACTAATATGAGAAAGCCTTTGTCTTCTTTTGGAGACCACCAGGTGAGCGGCCAGGTCAAGGTCTTAGAAACTCTTCCTACCACTATGATTTTTGAAAATAAATGTCTTATCTACTAGGTGCTGCTGGCAGGAGGGTAATGTTGTCAGTCCCATCACCAGCCCAGGGTCCCTGCTTTGGACTGTCACTCCTGATAAGTGGGAGCTGAAACTACCCCAGCCCTGCTTGCAGAGCTGTGCACCATCTAAGACCTGAAGGAGGAGGAGATGGGACCTGCTTGTCAGCCTTGTGCCAAGGGGGCAGATAGGCTCAGAGACTGCGCCGAGGGTCACTTCCATTTTTCATTTAAAATTTACTCAGTATTCAGCCTTTTAGCTGAGGATACATGTTCAAAAAGAGTGCTCTTTTCAAATTTGGGCAAGGACGTGGTTTGAATGGCTGGTTATTTGTCCACCACCAAAACTTAACCTGACTCTGTTATATTCATCTGTTGGGATAGTTTTCAAATAGATCTTGAAAACCTTCATCTTCAGGATGAACCATTGCTACATAGCTGTTTGTTAAAGGTCTGGTCAGCTGCTGTGGAAAGCAAACTCGTGAGGATAGGATTAGGCCGGGTGTCCACATGGAACCGTATGGGTCAGTGAACTGAAGCAGCGAGGGGGACAAAGCTGTGTCTTGTCACATCACAGCGTTAGCTAGAACTGACTGTGAGCCTACCTGCAGGCGGCCTGCAATGCAGATGCTACCCTGAGCATTGTGCAGAGCCAGGGCCCTGATCATAGAAGGCAGCCATCCCCCTGCAGGTTCTAAAAGAGGTCCTACCGAGGACCAACTGAGGACCAGAGAGCTATGGAGCATCACTGTGTCTCTAGGGGACCTTCAGGAATAGGAGAAAGGAAGAAAGAAGAAGAGGGGGGAGAAAGTAGAATTACAGTAAGATCCAGCAATTCCATTTGGTATATTGATAAAAGGAGTTAAATAGGGATATTTGTACCCCCATATTCCCAGAACCATTATTCCCAATAGCCCAAAGATGGGAGCCGTACATAATCACATTCATCAGAGGGTGAAAAATGAACACATGTGATATGTACATACAATAAATTATCATTCAACTTCAAAGGGGGAAGAAATGCTAGTAGGTGACAGAGTATTGATGAAACTTGAAGCCTTACACTAAGAGAAGGAGACAAGTCACAGTAGGACACATATTGTATGGTTCCGCTCTTATCTAGGGAGCCTGGTGTAGCCAAGTTCATAGAGACAGGGAAGAATGGTGGTTATCAGGGAGTAGGAAAACGAGGATATTGCTGTGTCGCAAAGTTTGGGTTTTGCAAGATGGCTTCCTAAGATACGTGGTTGTGATGGTTGCATAAAACTTTACACTTAAAATTGTAAATATGGTTTCAGGTTGTGTATGTTTTACTACAATTTTAAATATAATATTTTGTTTTTTTGAAAATTTTATGTACATCGTGTATTTTGGTCATCCTCACCACTCTCTACCCACTCTCTACCCCTCCACTGACTCTCAGCTTCATGTCCTTTTCTAAAACAAAGATAAAAACTCATTAAGTTCATTTTGTGCTGCCCATATATACGTGGGTATGGGGACATCCTCTGGAACATGGTCTGCCTACAAGGCCACACCTCTAAAGAAAACTTGACTCTTTTCCCCAGAAACCATGGACTGCCAGTAGCTCCTCTGCTAGAGACAAAGGCTCATGAGCCACTCCCCCATGGCTTTTTTAAAGCCCCATAGTCATATAAAGACACTGTGCAGGACTAGCTGTGATTGATGTTGTGTGGACACAGGTCCTGTGTGGGCTGTGGTGGACAAGATAGAGCTCTGATCCAGATGCCCTGGTTATCTCTCTAGTCTACTAGGACACAAGAGACGGGCAAGCCTGTGTGCATCCCTCTACAGAGAGTAGAGCCGTTGTACCTGGTGGTCTCTCAGAGTAGAGGCATCCCATAGTTTGGCTGATCCTCTTCTCTGAGCTGTGTTATATAGTCCAGACCCTCCTTTTTCTGGGAGGCTGTCACAAAAGATATAGCTCAACTTTCCTTAGTACTGTCTCGTTTTCTGTAATGGGCTACAGACTCATGGGCATCTCCAATCTTGGTCTGTATGCCTCGAAAGGCCTATTGGCTTTTGCGTGTTGTTATATTCAAATAAGTCTGTGTCTACCATGACCCCATTCCTTCTGACTCTTCCACCAATGCCTGATACTCCTTACATCTGGAACAGTGCTTTTCAGTTATCAAAAGAGGCACACTAACTTAAACTCATACTGCAGAGAGAATGGACACATTTTTGAGTTATGGATAGATAATGTCGGCTTTGTGTTATAGAAGACAACACGGAGGCTCAGAAAGTTCTTTAATGTGACCGCATCACCTTGCCATTGGCATATACAGTATGCGTGGCCCAAAGAAGGAATGGGGGGGTGGGGAAGCAGCTGTACCATTCTGTTTTGCAGCCATTGCAGCTTTTTTCTGACCCTTCCAGTGAATACTTCATATTTCCCTACATGGGCTTTCTGATTGGACCCTATCTTTTTTCAAACAGAAGGGCATTGTGACTTCCAAAAGGCTCAGGATGTGTCCTCTATAAAGAAGAGCAAGGTGGGCTGAAAGGGAAGAGCCCAAGCAAGGGGGTCATGAGGTTTGGTGAGTGGGCCAGCAAAGGTGGAGGTTGTAGTCTGAAAATTAACAAGACCTCTCTCTTTGTCCCATCCTCACTCTGAACTATTTGAGCTTTTTAGAAACCTTGAATTTATGGTTTTTATAAGAAAATCAGACCACAGAAAGGGCAAATGAACTGACTATCAGTAGCCATGTGCCTGAGACGGACTTTGCTCTGTGGGACGTGATTTCTGGAGATAAGACAGAGCCATCCCGCAGGAAAGGATTGTTTTTCTTTTGCTTCTGGTCTCAGGAAAGGACTATTGGAAGGAAGTGATATAAACAAAAAGTTTAATCTCTCTTATACAGCCAAGGCTGGTGTGGAACTCACTAATAGATCAGGCTAGCCTCAAACTTGTCCTCCTGCTGATGTCTCCTGAATGCTAGGGTTATAGGTGTGTGCCAGCACAAAAAATTCTGGGACAACAATAGAGCAACAAGACAGAAAGCCACAGCCCTTGCTCTGTGTCGTTTGGCGTTGCTGTGGGAAGAACGGTCAGGAAGAATACGGTTGGTCATGTGTCCACACCTAATGTTGTAGACTAGCAAACTGGAGGTCACTTACCAGTGGTGCCCTAGAGGGCTCTTTGAGTCTCATCATCTTAGGAGGCTTTGATGTAAGACCGACATGAGGACTGAGTTCTAAGCACTCATTCTCTGTGTTCAGGTTTTAAGCTGGGTCAGGTAGAGAGCTACTACATCTGTTGTGGTTCCCAGAAATTTGGTTTTCTGAAGGGACGAGCCAGCGCTCGAGCAAAGGGAATGACTAACTCTGAGGAGAGCTGGAAGGGCAGTAAAATCCCTGAGCCAATGCATCTGCACTCTAGGATGGTGGAGGTACCTTTGATTGGTCACCCTGAGGTAAAGACAGTTAAGGCAGCTGCTCAAACGGTCTTAAATTCTATGAAGTGTAACGATCCATTATTTACCATTTATTTGGAGATAAAGTAGTTGAGTGTCCAGCCATCCTGCAGATGGCGCTGTTGGAACAAGCTGCCTAGTAGCTATGCAGGGAAAAGGCAGCAGTCCCTAGAATCTGCAAGATAGGTGGGGGCAAAAGCACTCAAAGTGTAGGTCACGAGGTCCTGGCAGGGATTATCCAGGGAATCTGTGTCCCCAGACCTTCCCAATTAGCATCACTTGACTTGTTTTGCTCCTACAGAAGATGTGACACCGTGATACTGGTAGAAGTATCCCCTGATCCTGAAGAAAAAAAAACCAAAAAACTCAATTCAAGTTGTAGGTTAACTCACCAAATGACACAGCCATAGAATAAAGCAGATTTTAAGAGATTTTTATTCTTGGGGTACATTTTCACTGGGATAATCAGCAAGTTTGAGTTGTTGCCCTTAGTAGCATGATTGTGGGGGATGGACGTGCCGTGTCTTTCCAGGTGACAGATTGGAATGTAGCACTGTTGTATTGGCCTGAGATACTGCTGTGTGGTGGGAAAGCACTCAGATGCTCATGGTTTAGAGAGCAGCTGTGCTGCCCTGTGAGTGGTCTGTTTTATGGTCTCATTATCTGAAAGGCCGGATTCTCTATAAGCCTAGGTAGTTCCAAATTAGAAGCATTTACCTTTGAATTTACATCACCTAAGGTCTCAACACGCCAAATCCCATTTGAGCAGCTAAGCACATTTAAGCAGCATTAGTGCACTAGCTTGGAAAGAATAGACAACTTAAAGAAATAATAAAACATGGACACAATGAAGTAATTCAGTCAATAAATCTCTACTTAGTTGTTTGGCTGTATGATGACCTGTTTTTCCTCTCAAACATGAATAGAATATGTTTAAAAATCCATTCTGCATTTGAGACCAAAATGAAATGTGTGGAAATAGAAGGACTCTAGTGGATCAGAGTATTTTTAATATCTGTATATTCGGTGTCATCAATGAACCTGCAGTGCTAAAGGTGAATAAACCAGGGTCGTGCATAGAAATCAAAAGCCTGTGCCCTGAAATGGCCACTAGCCATCATTAATATCCATGCCCCGTGAAGTCTCAGTGTCGGGCATTGAGACATACGTTTCTATAATCGAATAAAAACATAGCAAGCATATTTAGCTCTCAAAGTTTCATCTTAAGAGAGGAAAAATTCTTTGCCCCTTTGGAGTTTTTAAAGAGAATTGTGGGTGAGAGCTAAGAATAGCGTAACTTCATCTGGTGATCCAGTAAACATGGCTGCCGAGGGTGGCGTGGTGACCTTTGGAATCAGTTGCTTCTTTCTTTGGGCCGAGATGATGACCATTTATAGCAGCTGCAGACGCCAGCAGATGGCAAAGGTGGGAGAGCCTAAATAGGTGCCTTTTCACACTCCAGCTTCCTCACAAGGATGAAAGGCTTTTAGACAGATGAAAAAATTCTGAAGAAAAAAAAGCCAAGCATATGTATAAAATTTAATGTCATGAAGTTGGCAAGTGGAAGGATGTGAAGCGGCCTAGAGATGAAGGGCAGCCTTGCCCTTTGGATTTTGTGTGACATTTTGGATGGATTCAGGACATTGCCTTGCCTCTGTGGACCCCAGGGAGAAGTTACAAGCTTGAACTGATGGAGAAATGATCTTGTGACAACTCTCTGGGGGCAGGGGATGTTTTATGTGTGGATAACACCCAACCCAGAGGCCTAAAGGTCATTTTGTTTATCTCTGATGTCAATAATTGGGCTAGAAGTCACTGTTGAAGATATTATGGAAAGGTCTCCATGTGTCTCTTATCAAACCTGTGGATGATCTTCCTTTGTTTTTACTTCTTGCACATTCGGAAGACTTTGGGACTGTGTTCCTAATAACTTTCACACGTGGAAAGACTCCCAAGCACAGGCGGTGTTTTTAGCTTTCTTTCCATGTGATGTAGTGACTGGCAAAGAAGGAAAGCTTTGGGAAACAAATGGTTGTCTGTGAAATGGGTTTCTGAAGATTTCTGGACCGTGTCTACCGAGTGAGCATGATGCACTCCTGGCAAGGGGGCGAGCACATGCTGTGGAGAGTGGAAAGGATACCAATTGTAAGAGAACCCTGCTGCTCTGTGCTGCTCTGTGGATTCAAATGATTTCTGAAGGAAATTCATTTACTGAGAAAATAACCCCAGTAAAACCAATACCAGAAATGCCTCAGGCTCCACACAGGTACTATAGAGAGAAGCACTGTGAAGATCATCTTGGGCTAAAAATCTAAGAAAGCCCCAGCAAACAAAACTTCAAACTGCACTTGTATTCTTTTTCTAAAAGCTAACCTATGGCATATGCAGCAAGTAGCACACTTAATCCTTTGACCCAAGAAGACGAATGTATCAAATTTCCCTGTGGCCTCAGTGGATCAGCCCCTTAACTAGAAAAGTGGCTCGGGAAGAGGAGTCTTGGTTGAAAGAATTTGTTCCAGTAGGAGAGGGAATGTATCAGGGAGTTCTGTGCATTCCATGTCTTCATAATGTCTACAGCCTGAGAGTAGTAAGAAATATGAAGAAATGATGTGAAAACACAAGAAGCACATGCACACAAGCCACATGTGCGCCATCAGTGAAGGCAGTGAGAATGCTATTCTCAAGGGGTTCTAGTTCAGGAGGAAACTATGGTGGCAATGGGAGTTTTAATCTTCTAGCTTTTCCTGGAAAGTTTGTGATGCAGCTTTATCTTACATATACACACTCACAAATTCCATGCACACACACACACACACACACACACACACACGCATGCACATACACATACTCAGTTAAATTGTTAAGAGAAAAAGATTCTACATAGTAGAAAGTAATAATTGTGTATTTCTTAAAAGCCCCAAACACTGTATGCTGTTTCAACTCCCAAGAAACTTAGTCTTTAGGGGACAAGGGTGTAAATGATTCTTGGCACACAGAAGCATGGTAAAGGCTTTTGGAAGATATTATAAACTAAAATAGAATTTTTATATCAGAAATAAGATTTTTTCTAAAATCTGTCTGTTTAGATCACATATAGTATACCTAATTCTGAAAATTACACTTTTAAAAGATACTGACAAAACATACTGCAGTTTTTGGAAGGCTGCCAGGAATAAAAAGTTAAAGTAATTTGGATGCATCCAGTTTAAGTAAATGATTTTGCTATAGTTTAAATGTGAAATGACCCCCTTGGGTCTCATGTATTAGTATTAAGTCTAGGTCATGAGATGGTAGTGCTGTTTGGTGAAGTTTTGAAAACTTTGGGAGGTAGGACCTAGCTGGAGGAAGTAGGTCACTGGGGGCAGTTACTTGGGGACTGTTTTGTCCATGGGTCCTTCCTGTTTCTGTAATTTTGTTTCCTGGCCATCATGAAGTAAATGTCTTCTACCACATCCCACCTCTATGGTGATTATCATAGTCGCCAACAAACCATTTTTGCTACTTAATCTGAAAGATATTATACAGATCCTAAATTTTCTTTCTTAGTATTTGACCCCATTGAGCTACTACCTCCTTTCTAAATTCTCTCCCCCCAGCCTCGGCTGATTGGCTTTTGCCCTTTTGTCCTTCCTCATGGTACTACTTATATCCTTCCCTGCAGCATCAACTCCTCAGACCTTCTCTTCATGCACATGCCTGAATGCTTTATAGTCTTTCCTAGGTTCATCTTCTGTTGACTCCCAAACCCTTCTTCCGCCTCTGATCTCTCCCTGAGACCCATATGCATAAACTCATTGTTTTCTAGACACCTCTGTTTCAATTTCTCAAGGAGAAACTCACGAGTTTCATCATCTCCTTTGCACCCTTCCAAGGCATCTACCTCTTCTTGTATTACCATAGTAGTGGAAAGTACCAGCCACACAGTTAGTCAACCTAAAACCTAGGGCTCATTCTTGCCTCTTTCCTTGCTCTCCACTCTCATTGAGGTCATTGCAAAGGCTTAATGACTCCAACCCTTTTTTTTCCTTTTTTAATTGTTTTTATTGAGCTATATATTTTTCTCCGCTCCCCTCTTTTCCTCTCCCCTCCCCTTCTACCCTCTCCCATGGTTTCCATGCTCCCAGTTTGCTCAGTGACTCCACCTCTTTAGTGAGTCCCTTTTCTTCCGTCCACATTTCACTGCTGTAGATAAGAGTCTTGTTGCCTGCTGAGATCCCTGCACAGCCTCCACTTTGCTGTACAGTCACAGTCACCTTACGTTCATGCCCACACCGATACAAACTGATTTCTAGAACTATACATCTCGTCATGCTCTTCTTAGTCCATAAGCTTTGGAGGCTGTCTTAGTTTGGGATTCTATTGCTACGAAAAGACACCATGATCATGGCAAATATTATAAAGGAAAACATTTCATTGGTACTGGCTTACAGTTTCAGAGGTTTAGTCCATTATCTTCATGGCAGGAAATGCCAGCGTGTAGGCAGAAACGGTGCTGGAGAAGGAGCCGAGAGGTCTAATCTTGATCGTCAGGCAACAGGAAGTGAACTGTCACACTAGGCATGGCTTGAGCATGTGTGAGACCTCAAAGCTCTCCTCCACAGTGACACATTTCCTCCAACAAGGCCACACCTACCAACAAGGCCACGCCTCTTAATACTGTCACTTCCTATGGGCCAATTAAAACACATGAGTCTATGGAGCTATACTTATTCAAGCTACCATAGAGACTATAGCTGATTTTCCATCAATCTATCAACCAGCGATCTTACTCATGTAGAAGACCCTGGGGTTTGATTACTAACCTCTACCTGGTGGTTCCCAACCATTCATAACTGCAGTTCTAGGTGATCTGAATCCCTCTTCTGACTCCTGTGGGCACCAGGTACACGTGTGGAATGCCTACAGACAAAACATTCATACACATAAAATAAAATAAATCTTAAAAAAAATGTTAAAACCTCATCAACCGATCAGTCTCCCACTGCTTCGTCTGATTTTGCCTCTTAGGATTCCCCATTCCCCCCTTCTGACCCTGTGCTCTAGCTCTCCTGGAGTTTTCTTGAGCACACCATGCCTTAGAGCCTCAATGCTGTCTGTGAAATCTTTCTTACCTTGTCACTCAAACAGCCCCTATTCATTCTTGAAACTCATCATAGACCATACCTTGTTCTAGAAAATCCCTGAAGTTCATTCACTTGGTTCACACTAGGAGCTCCTTTCTTAGTCTCACATCATATCTTTGCTGTGGCAGTCATGATTAGCTTTATACTAGCCTGTGTCATAGCCCTGCTGTGACAGTCATGATTAGCTTTACACTAGCCTCTCCCCTCCTCAGATCAGGAATTCTATCTAATCTGTCTTTTCCTCTTAGCCCTCGCACAGCGAGCCAACATGCAATGGTACTTATTTGAAAATCATGTGAATGAGTGGTATAGATTGAGCAGCCCCTTTGGTGAGTGGGTTTCAGGCCAGGTGATCTCTAAGGATGATAGATGGGAGAGAGGTAGAACAAATGAATGCTGTCAGATCCTAGACCTAGAACCATACACTGATAGAATGTGTGAGTTTGCAGTGAGATAACATTAACCTAGACAGAATTTGGCACTTTAAGAAATGAAACAAACCAGTCATTTGGGTTGAATTTTGAACGATAATGATTTCTTTGAATTTTTTAACTTAAAAATAAAACACTCCTGATAAGAAACTGACTATTCTTACTAAGCCCATTTGCTCAGTCTTACGCAGTTTCTGTGTTTTTTCCCCAGAGGAAGTTTTAGTCACCTCACTCTATTAGCTAAAATAGGGGGAGCTTGATATTTTTTCAGGGTTTCACTGCATGGTCCAGGCTGATCTTGGACTCACAGTCTTCCTTCTTCTATCACCTCCCTAGTACTTAGATTACAGGAATTGTACCTCCACATTTGGCCTTTTCAAAACAATCTTAAAGGCCAAAATTAAACAAAAAGTAAATGTTACATGCTGATTTTATATTCAGTATCCTAATTTTGAATCAGAGCAGCTCATCATATCCAATATGTTGTGTTTGATAGTTGCCAGTTTTTCTCTTCTTGTTAAGATGGCCAAAAACAAAAACAAAAAACAATAGCAATCATAACCCTCTCCTGAGTACTTTTTATGTGTTGAACACTGTTCTAATTTTATATCATATTTTTTTCTTTGAGAATTTAAAAAAAACACATTTTGATCATATTCATCCCCTAACTCCTCCTGGGTCTTACTACCTCGCTCCTCACCCAACTTCATGTTCTCTCTCTTAAAACAAACAAAAAAACCCAAAACCATAAACCCATAGAGGTCAATTTGTGTTCCTAAATATTCTTAGGTGTGTGGCCTACCTTCAAGCTTGGTCAGCCTGACAGGGATCATACTCTTAGAGAAAATATACCCTCCTTCTTCCAGCAGCTAGCAAATGTCAATATTTTCTCAACTTTGGGTAGGGCTTCATGCCCACTTACCCCTCTGTCTCCATGATGAAGTCTTGTCTGCTCTGAGCTTGTGCAAGGCTTTCTTGAGCTTGCTGTCACAATTGCTTTTAGTTCGTATGTGCAACTGCCCTGTTGGGTCTGGAAAATGCTGTTGTTTCTTTGTTCTCGTCTACTACCCCTGCCTCTTTTAGTCTTTGAGAAGATCCCCCTGAGTCTGGGAGGAGGGTACAGTATAGATGTCCCATTTAGAAGGAACACTTTGTAGTCTCTTACTCTTTGCACACTGACCAACTGTGGTTCACTGTGTTTATTGTCATCTACTGCAAGATCTCTCTCAGATGAGAGTTATTGCCTAATGGCAATAAGCCATTAGGAGTTGTTTTGGTACTCTATTCATTTAACAGAATAATAATAGTAGGTCCTCCTGTAGAACATAGCGATCTATCTAGCTGCAGCTTCTTGACCCTGCTCACAGCACCAGGTGTGAGTGGTTGGTTACTCCCATTACATCTGGGCCACTATTGCACTAGCAGCACATCTTGCCTGGACAGTCATTATTGTAGCTTACAGTGCTCCCATCTGGGTAAGACTGATGTTTATTTTTCATCATCGGTAGTGTGCCTATCACCTTACAACACTATGAGAACTACTATTAGGGATGAAGCTGCTTCATCTTCTTCCATGTCTTTGGGCTTTTATTATAAAAGTTATCACTTCCTTAGCTACATCTGTTCTAAGATATTATTGAGGCTATTGTAAATAGGTTTGTTTTCCTGATTTCTTTCTCTCTGTTTTGTCATTTGTATATATGGAAAACTATTGGGTTTTTGTGTGCTAATTTTGGATCCTAATACTTTGCTGAATATGTTTATCAGCTGTAGAAAGTTTTCTGGTAGAGTCTTTCTGGTCTTTCATGTGTAGAATCAGACTAACTACAAATAAAGATACTTTTACTTCTTATAAAGATACTTTTATATCTTTATAAGTATCTTTATAATGATACTTTTGCCCCATTTTTATCCCCTTAATCTCCATCACTTGTCTTATTGTTCTAGCTGAGACTTCAAGCACTATATTGAATGAGTGGAAAGAGTGAACATCATTGTCTTGTTCCTGATTTTAGTGAGAATACTTTGCTTTCCTCTCTTTAGCATTATGTTCCCTGTAGACTTGTGTATTGCCTTTATTATATTGTGACATAGACTCTGTATCATTAGATTCTCTAGGACTTTTACCACGAAAGATGTTGGATTTTGTAAATTGCCTTTTCTAATTCCGATCATGTGGTTTCTGTCCTTATTGAGTCTACTTACATGGTCACTGACATTTATGTTGAACCATCTCTGTACCTCTGGGATGAAGTCAGCTTGATCATGGTAGATAATCTTTGAATGTGCTCTTGAATTTGGCTTGTAAGTTTTTTATTGAAATTTTGCATCTATGTTTCTCCAAGAGATTTTGTTATTATTTTCTTTATTTCTTGTGTCTTTGTCTAATTTGGGTATCAGAGTATGATTGGCCTCCTTTTTTTTTTAATGGTGGTTGTCTAAATTATTTTTCAATGCTGTGAAGAGACACCATGACCAAGGTAGCTTATAAAAGAGAACATTTAAATTAGGGGGCTTGCTTATAGTTTCAGAGGGTGAATCCATGATCGTCATGGCGGTGAGCATGGCAGCAGGCAGACAAGCATAGTGCTGGAGCAGTAACTGGTAGCTAACAGCTGGTCCACAAACCAGAATCATGGAAGAAAAGAGTCTGAGTCTAGCATGGGCTTTTGAAACCTCAAAGCCCACCCAGAGTGACATGCCTCCACCAAGAACAGCACATCTCCTCCAAGGCCCCCACTCTTACTCCTTCTTTAAACAGTGTACCTACTGGGATCCGGACATTTAAATACATTAGCCTATGGGGGCCATTCTCATTCAAACCATCATGGTGGTGTTTCTTTTCTATTTTACAAAATAATTTGAGGAGTATTGTGTTAATTCTTCTTTGAATGTCCTATAGAATTCTGTGCTACATTAATATGGCCCTAGACGTCATTTAGTTAAGAGATTTTTAATTACTGCTTCTATCTCATGGTTGTTATGGATCTATTTAAATTATTTACTTCATCTTGATTTAATTTTGGTAGGTCATATATATCTAAGAATTTACCTGTTTCTTTTAAATTCTTCAGTTTAGTCGAATTTTATTTTGTTTTCTTCTAGTGGATAGAGATTTTTAAAGTGTGTCATGCCTTGTTTGTAATGTAATAAAATCAGAGGCTGAGCAGAAGCTAGAGGTGAGCGTGCATGTGGTGAAGTATACACAGACCCCACAGCAAAGCCATTTTCCAAACTTAAGTGTCTTGGAGCCTGCTCTGTGATAAGAAGCATGCAAGAATAAGTGAGAACTGCCAATTATTGAAGCATACTTTAACGAGGAAATCTTTCATCTGATCCTTGAAGCAGAGTTAGTGTTAATATTTTCCTCATTTTCCCAGCTTAGGAGTTTGGACTTAGCGAAGGAAGCAGGATCTGAGCCCAGCAGGGTGTCTCAGAACCCACGCTTCCAGCATGCATCCATTTGGAGGAAACAGTCAGGCTGACTCAACCCTACTTTTGGTTGTTTTTCTACAGGAAGTTTCTATGTTATTTTTGTTTATCTCTTATTTTTAATTATGAAGCTACATGTTTTCTATATAGAAAATTCAGACAAGCAAAAAAAAAACAAAAATAGTCTACCCACCCCGTTGTCTGACTGTCTCACAGTTGCTAATACTTGGTATTTATACGCCCAGATATTTCTCAGTTTGTTTTATGGTCATATTTCATGGCTAGCTTTTCTAATGAAATATCCATGGTAATGAATACATGTTATTTTTCTTTGTTGACAAAGTCTTTAATATAAAGACTTTTTCTTATTTTCAAACTTCTAGTAACTTTAATAGGTTATTAAAGCCAGTTATAATTGTAAGGCTACAAACAGAAGCAAAATAAACATTGGAAACAGAGGACCTGTTTTGAGATAATTATGGAGAATCTTTTCCCCCAAGCCAGACATGGTAATACATACCTCTGATCTTAGTACTTTGGGTGGGTGGGTGCTCTGCTATATATTAAGTTTGAGGCTAGCCTGGGCTACATGAGACCCTGCCTCATAAAAAGCAAACACAAACAAGTCCTTTCCCAAGGCAAAGCATCAGAGAATGGCAATTTCCCCCCAAGACCTTCCATATTCCTCTCTGCAGGCATGCGCTTTAGAGGTCTGTGAAGATTGTGAGCCTGGAAACCTGGCTGGGGAGTAGCGCAGTGAAGATGGGGGGTGTGTTGTAAGCCGTGAGGTCTCTGGCCCCTTTCTTCCTCCTATTCGTTGCCATTGTCTTCCTCCTCCTCTCCCTCCTCCTCTCCTCGGCTTTCTCTCTGTCTCCTCCCCTCCTCCTTTACCGTCGCTCCTCTTCTGTCTGAAGTGTGCTTTCAATCAGTGGACAGTGTCTTCCACAACCCTGAGACCTCCCCGAGGCAAGTCCTTCCTTGGTGTGACATGCAAGGCAGCAGGAGTAAATCTGGAGTGTCTGTTCTTAAAGGAAAGGGTATTTAAGAGCTTGGGGTGAGTGGGAAACCTGGTGTAGGCAATGAGTATCAAAAAGCAGTCCAAAGACCCTAAATTAAGGGGCTCCTGGCAGTGTTATGCAAACCCCAATCTGTATCACCAACCAGAACAACCCGCCAGGCAGATCTGTACCTTCTTTCTCTTCCAGTGAGCAACTAGAAGCATTTTTGTAAGCCATTTGTTTGGAATAATTTTCAAAAACTCACTGCCAAGTTCTGACAGGAACAAATTTGAGCTCTTCCACCTGGAAGCCAGGTTTAGATAAAGGGGTCTGGGTTTTTGCAGCCTCCCGTGGGTAGCTGGGGGGACATGCTAGCCACATCAGGATCTATGCCTATACTTTCCTTGGCATGCTCAAAGCAAAGGCTAGGCTAACACCTTGCCTGTGGAGTTTATGTTGAAATTGATAGACAGCTGTCCTTCCATAATTAAGGAGCTAACAGCACAAAATTTGGGTAGCCTCAGCTTACATAACTCCATGGTGTTTCACGTTGTGTTCTATTTTGTACCATATATCTTAGACTCAACAATGCCAAACTCAGACTGAAATAGCTCTGGTGGACTTTAGTCCAGCACATGCCCAGAACTTGAAAATATCATCCAGGGAGGAGGCAGTGAGAAAGTCTAAAAGGAGAACTCCAAAACATGTGATGGGCTCGCTCCATTTTCATTTCTCTTCTCCATGAGGCTTGAACTCTGCCTAAAATTATGTACTTGGGTCATTCTCATTTGCTTAAAAAGCTATAGCTAAAGAAGAAAGGGCTATTCAGATCGAGACTTTGGATCAGTCAGACTTTTCTGTTGCTGGTGGAAAATACCTGACAGAAAAAATTAGAACAAGAACGTTTATTATGACCTGCAGTTTCCAAGCCTGGCGGTTTCTGCATTGTGAAGCAGAGCATCATGGGATGTGGGGTAAGATGGCCATCCGAGATGCACAGAGAGCGAGAGCGTCTGCACACAAGGACTTTGCATCCCATGCTGCAGGCAGTGGGGTAATGTGCCCACTTAGGGCCCTTCTTCCCTCCTTAAGGGATGCTGCCTGGAAACATCCTCACAGCTGGTCCCAGAAGTCTGCCTTCCAATCAATCAGCTAGATGCTTTCCAATCCAATCAAACTGTCCGTCATGCCTGAGATCTGTCTGGCCCACCTGCTGGAGCTTTCACTCCGGTGAGAGTTCTGCAAGTCTATGAGGTTAGAAAGAGTTAATGTTTGGGATTTATTTAAAAAATTATATCCTATCATGGCTTCAGGGGATGACACAAGATGTGTGATACCAGGTGACTTGAACACAGGACAGTTTTCTAGGTAATCCTTTTCTTTGCTGTCTCTTCTGTGAAAGTTATCTGAACAGTGAGTACCATGGTCTCCCCGTCTACAGAATGCCAATTACTGACTCTTCCTGATATCTTCCCTATATGGGGGACTATGCTTCCATAGATGGATATAGGGATTGGGACATGTGGGTAGGAGACTCAGTACTGCTCCACCAGTAACATAACTTTTAAAGCCTCAGTTTCTGCATCTACAAAATGGGAATACTGTCTCTTCCATTTTATTTGAAATAGGCATTAAGTAGGATAATACAGTTAGTAGCACTTTAATACACTTAGCACACAGAACAAATGTAAATCGTTATCATTGTTATTCGGGAGATACGGTGACTGGATGAGATCATGTCTGGAACCTACTCAGAAAAGACGAGCTAAAGATATAGAAGAGATTGATGATATTGCAACAAACTTGGGAGTTTCCCAAGAGAGGGAATGTGACTCTCGGTCTGACTGAACTCTTGACACCCTGGGTTGCTTCACTGATTGAGGGCCAGGTTCCCAGGCTTGCTTACTGGATCAGCCGAAATTCTTTGCACATTCTAAAGCTAGGGCTATCGATGTGTTGAGCAAGGATCTTCTTTGTTTTCATGTTTATGTAAGTTGGGTCAGTGAGACTTTGGGGGCAAAGGAGTTGCTGATGGAAACAGTGTTGTGCTTTGTACTTGTGACAGAGGGTCTCCTTCCTCAATCTTCCTCACTCCCTGCCCCATCCCCACCCTTGACCTGACCTCTCCGACTCCCATACTTGTCTGAGGGCAGCAAGGGGCGCTCTGCAGCCAGTGTTCTCTCCTTAGCCTGGATAATAGAGAAGCCCTCACTACCACCTCTTAACCTTTCACCAGGACTCCTGGTGTCCCCTGACCATTGGGCCTGTCTTTCCCTTGGAAGAATACTGCTTTTGACACTCACATTTTAGATTTTAAGATTGGCTCAAAAACTCATTTCCTAGTGACAATTTCTCAAGGCTTTGCCCATTTTGCCCTGGTCGCTCCTTTACCTACCATGCCCCTGGTATTAGATCACCAATTTGTACTTAGTGTCACACCTCATTTCTTCCAGGTCCGTGGAGAGGGGACTATTCTACATGATTTAATTTTATAGCAAACTAAGATTTCACCCTAAGGGTCTCCTACTGAAATTCTACTTTCACGTTTACTGACACTAAATAATGCTTGGTTCTGAAATACAATCTCTACTTCTTGTGCCTTATATACAGGCTATTGTATATATACCTCTCTTCTTGATGCCCAAGGGCCCACTAATTTCTACGATGAGTAGAAATCCTGCCAAGGCCCAGCGTGAAGGTGAAGGGTGTTTTTCCTGTCCCCTTCACTGAGGGTTCCTTCCAACTCAGCAATATGGTGCTCAGGCTGGCCCATGTTCAAGGGAACCTGACCATGAATCCAGTCCCTGCAGTGGTGTAGGTCATTTCTTGTAGGCCCTAGAGCACCTCCCTGTCCCATAGCCACATTTCTCTCAGGTGATGATGATGTTTTCCATAAATATAACATTTTATGTATTTAGTGTGTTTGTGTATGAGCACGTGTGCCCATGCACACACTTAGCGCACATGTAGAGGTCAGAGAACAACTTACAGGAGTCAGTTCCCTGCTTCAGTCACGTGGGTCCCAGGAATCAAACTCGGGCTATCAGGCTTGGTACATTACCTGCTGAGCTGGTCTACCAGCCCACGGCAGTGGTGATTGTTTAGTTTTTGTTTTTTTTTTTTCTTAGAGACAGGATTTCTCTATGTAGCCCTGGCTGTCCTAAAACTTGCTTTATAGACCAAGCTGGCCTTGAACTCTCAGAGATCCGCCCACCTCTGCCTCCCGAGTGCTGGGATTAAAGGGGTGCACGACCACTGCCCAGCCTGGCAATGATGGTTTTTAAATAGCGCAGTCAGTGAGGGTAGTTTCTGAAGCTGGGTCCTACTTCCGGAGTGGAACTACAGAACTAAGTGAGTGGGGCTGATTCCCCTAGCTCTGATCGTCTCCTTTAGCTGGTTCATGCTTGCACCACTCCACGTTTATTTTGCTAGTTTTTATATGCAGAAATTTAAGCATTTCAGTCCGTGTGAGCTTGCCAGTTTCATCCCTGGAAATACCACAGACCAACGACATGCTTATCACTCACGCGGCTGTCAGCTCCGTGATAAAGCTTTGACAGGTGTCTGACAGTGATGAGGAAGCCTTCAGCCAAAACTGAGAGTCCCCAGGCCAGGAACCTGCCTCGCTGATACGTGTTCTCATTTGACAAATCTCTCGCTGGTTTGCAGGGGACAGACATCTGAGGGTCATGTATATATGCCTCTGGCACTCTGCCAGGGAGAATAATTTCTAAGGTTTCTTAGGTGATTGCTTTTAATCCAATCTCCTTTTGCATGTATATATAACACCCTAACCATGCTTCTTCTAACCTACGGTGAGCAATGTCACTGAATTCAAACTGGGAAAGAGGAAATTTCTGATTGGAGCTGAAGCAAGATTTCCAGGCTGTGTGATTTTCACTGTGGTTGGCCAGACAGAGAACACCCCTAAGTACATTTATAATGATACTTTATTGGCATTTCTGAGCTCACTCAAATCATTATCCTTTGGTTGACAAATGTATTGAATCCTTGCCTTTATCTTTTGAAATTCATTTTATTTTGTATTTTCCTAATTTTGAAGAAATCTCTTTTTGTTGAAATATGTTGCAATGACCCCTGAATTAATACGCTACTAACCTTCTCTGGGTTCCTCATTCCACTATCCCGGATAATCATGGCAAGCATGTAAATATAATCTGTTTATTTTTAGATTGATTAATTGCTAGGGAATGCCCTGCATTTAAATTTATATTATAAGTGATTTTTTTTCTAATAATAAAACCAATGCATGTTCATTATATAATAATTGGAAAACAGAGAAATAGTAGAATAGAAAATCCATTGCTGTTATTACTTAGAGATACCCACTGTCAATCCTGACCAACAAGTTGTACCCAGCAGAATACCAAGAATGCTCTGCTTGGGGCCCACAGTGAACTCCTGATCATCATTTGCTACCATGAGAACTCCCTCAGGTTCTCTTTTGTCTCTTTTATAATAGCATAACCTACCACGTGTAATACTTCTAAGTTGACCCCAAACTGAAGCCATTATCGGTAGTAGTTTTAAAATAGAGAGTAAAGTTAGAACTGTGGCTGCCTTTATCCTGACTTCTTCACTTAATGTTTTATTAAATCACCTTCAGTTCCTTAAATGTTCTTTAAATACACGACTGTGGTAGCTACATCATACTCTAACATGGGGATGTGGCACCATAGAGTGAACTCTTCTTTTCCAAATCTACTTTATTAGTTCTTTGAGAATTTTATCAATGCATACCTTGTATTTTGATTATGTCTGCCCTCCGCTCTTCTTAACTCCATCCTCCTCTACCATTTTCCAACTTGCATCCTTGTTTTTGTTTTGTTATTTTAACCCATCAGTCCTATTTCCATTGCCTATTTACTCGGGGTGTTGCGCCAGCCACTGGAGCATTGCCAACCTACCAGGGGCCACACCCTTAAAGAAGACCAACTCACCCTCCCCTAGGAGCCATCAGCTGCCTCTAGCCTCTAGCTCCTCAGCCTGGGGTTGGTGCTCATGATGGCTGCCCCTCTCCATGTCGGAATGGTGACAGGCTTGATCATATGTAGGCAACCACATCTACTGTGAGTTCGTGGGTGAGTGGCCCTGTCCTGTTCAGAAGATGCTGCTTTGATCCCATCTCCCTGACCTCTGTCTTTTACAATCTTTCCCTTCCCTGTTCCATGATGGCCTCTGAGCCTTAGAGGGTGGGGTGAGCTGTTCTAATTGATAAGCATTTAGGCTAGCAGTAGTTTGTAGTCTGGGGTGAAACAATGACTCAGCTGTTAAGAGCTACTCCCAAGGGCCCAAATTTGATTCCCTGCACCCAGGTTGGGTGGCTCACGGCCATCTGTAACTCCAATCCTAAGGAATCAGCGCCTTCTTCTGGACTCTTCTGGACTTCTCAGGCACTGTACACACCACACAAACACTCATATATACACACACTCACACACTCTCTTTTATATACACTCACATACACACACACTCACAAACACACATACTCTTTTACAAACACTCACACGCACATACATAATACATACTCACATATATACTCTCTCTTACACACATTCACATGTACACACACACTCACATATACATACTCACACACATACGCACACTTTTGAAGAGTACAATTTGTGGTTTTATAAACCAGGTACTGTATAGCTGAAGGTGACTTTGAACTTCTGATCTTTCTGCCTCCATATCTCAGATTGCTAGGACTACAGGTGTGTACCGTTCCATCTGTTTTTATGGGGTGCAGGGAATTGTACTAAGGTCTTCATGTATGACGAATAAGCACCCTACCAACTAAAGTAAATCCCTATCACAGTTTCATTTTAAAGAGACTCTTGTTACACAGCCCAAGCTGGCCTCCAGTTCACACTCCTCCCACTCAGCCTCTCGGCAGTGGGATACAGGTGCATGCCCCTGTGCCAGGTCACCCTTAAATTCGAGCCAGGGCTTGAGCTGATCTTGACATGGATAGATGGCTGGGATCAACCCATCTTGACTTAAGTATCTTGGGACCAGGCTCCACATTTGCTTTCTTTACCCGCTACCGGCCCTTACTGCGCTCTCATCCACATCCACAAGAGCCACAGGACTGGATGGTTTCTCCAGGCTCCAGCCATCTGAAAGGGTAGCAAAGAAACACTGAGAATTGGATGGCTCTCTTAATGGGGCTCCGCCTGGGATCTTGTAGTTTTCTTCAGGAAGGCAGTTTTGTCCCCCTTCTCACTCTGAGACATTTGCCTGCTTCTGGAGATGGATTTGATTGCTGTGGCTGAGAAAGAGACTGCTAAGGGCCTCCTGTGGGATGGAACAGGATGCCGTCGACTGTGCTGCTATATGCAAGATAGGTGTGATATGTGCTTCCCAAGGCTACCCTAGCAATGCGACCTAATCTGGAGGGACTGAAACAACAGATATGTATTTCCTCACAATTTGGGAGGCTAGAAATCCAAGTTCAAATATCTGCTGGGTTGAGTTCTTCTTGAGTTCTGTTTAGGAAAATCTGTTCTAAGTTCAAGCTATCCCCAGGTCCCTGCAGTTGGGCATAGTGTTCGTGTTCCTTGGCTTGTAACTATAACACTCCAGTCTTACCCTTATGCCACATGGGAAGTATCTGTTTCTCCATGATGTCTTTTGATGTGAAAGCAGTCATACTCTATAATGGGCAATTCTATTCTTATTCAATATAATCTTAACTGGCTAAATCTGTAACATTATTTACAATAAGGTCACACTGTCAGGTGCTGAGAGAGCATCAAGCTGTCTTTCTTGTGAGGAGGACAGAACTCAACCTGAAAGAACCCTTCCAAGAAGGAGCAGTCCAACCCAAAACATGAGTTGGGGGGCTATTGAGAAAGTGGTCCTTATCATCCGTGCATCACCCCAGAGAGGATAGCTAAGATAGGAGGAAGGTGCTGTATAGCTTGAGTGTTGGTATTGTCTCCAAATTCCCACCTAATCCCCAAAATTATGATGTTAGAAGTGGGGCCTTTGAGAAGTGATCAGGTCCTGTGAATGCCATTACTTCCCCCATACCATGACACAGCAAAAAGATACCGTATGTGAACCCAGACCCAAGCCCTTACCAGACACTGAATCTGCTTGCACCTTGACCTTGGACCACACCAACACCCCCAACTGATGCCTGGAGATTTCTGTTATTTAAAAGCCATGTAGTCTAAGGGCAGAGCAGTGTGAATGCACTAAGACTGGTGGGAAGGATAGGGTGTGCAGGGATGCTGTTAGTAAGAGGACAGGTGACCTTAGTGCAGAAGCTGCGGACCACTGTCAACCTCAAAGATGTGACCACCCTGACCTACAAGGATGTTTGTGACCCAGACAAGGGGAAGGGTTTGGGATATTACACCAGCTGGGGGTGGTAGAAATGTGAGCCTCAGCCTGTGCTTCTGACATTTTGTCATCTGACCCTACTGTTCCCTGGACCAGGCACAGCCTTGCCCTCTGTCTCTTTAGGGGTGGGGCAGAAGAGAAAAAGAAATCTACAAGCCCTGAAGTTTTCAGCAATACTTTCAAGCTATTTTGTCTCTCCAAAGCCCTGCCTTCTCCCTGTCACACCCACTGCCTCCCACAGACAGCCAAACTTAGAATATGGAAAACAGGAAAAACAGCAACACTTGGAAGTTCCGTCTTTCTAGAGAGAACATTGCTTTGGGTGCATCCCCCACCCACCCACCCACCCATATCTTTCTGATTGCCAAACCCTGCAGCAGGTGGCCTCATTCTGAGCCGTGCGGCTGCTGTCATGCCACCTGCTTGCTTCTCTGGCTTCAAGAATTCCACAGGAGAATGAACTTCACAGAAGCAGGACCACGGGCGTGCTGTGTATCTGCAACTGGGTTCTTCACCTTTACAGGATTTTTGTGCACATTCTCGTGAAAAGGCTTTGTGTGCCCACTCAGTATTTTGCCGATTTGAGTAGAGTCAAGGCGTGCATGTCAGGGGACGTGAGCAGAGGAGCAGAGTCTGTGCTATCCTGTTGCAGGATGGTGAGCTTCTTCTCAGCAGCAGTATAAAGGCTGGCTGGCCACAGGGAGAGCCAGCTCAGTGGGGAGAGATCTTCAGAGCTGCGTGTCTTTATGTCTCCCTTGATTTGTCCCATGCAGCAGCTCTGGGCCAACTTCCGGCTTCTAGTCTCTCTTTAGTCTATGCCATACTTCTTGTTTTCTGATCTCAGTACCAGCCCAGGCTCTCCCAGCCTTATCTTCCAGCTCTGTATCTGTCCTCCATTGCTCTTCTCTATCCCTTGAAAGAGAAACGCAGTGGGGTCATGGGAAAGCCTTTCTTTTATTATGTCTCAGTCCCATGAGGGCCGCCATACTTTCTGGAATCTTAATTGGGCTTTTCTTACAGGCTGGACCTGGTCATTCCTGTCCATTTGTTCTTTGTGACTCATAGCCACAGCCTCTGGGATTGGCCATGCCTTTACTTGAAAAGTACAGTTTCATTGTTGCCATTCTAATGGATAACTTGCCTATAGTTGATTCTCATTATTTCCCTTTTTCCCTTTTTCCCTTTTTCCCTTTCCTGAGAGCACCTAGGCATTCAGTTCTAGCCCATGATAAAACAGGCCTGGAAGTGCCTTTGAAGACCAGTGTATAAGTGAAGAGGACGACTGGTGATTAGAAAGGAAAAAAGAATCAATGAGAGAGGGGATACCCTAGCAAGGAACAACTGCTGTTCTTTCTTAGGGTTTCTAGGCCTAGACCTAGGATCATTCATATTTTTTCATTAATGTATTACACACACACACACACACCATGGCACATGTGTGTAGCGATCAGAGGACAGTTTGTACAGTCGTTTCTATCCTTCCATCATGTGGGTTCTAGAGATCAAACTTGAGTCTTCAGCCTTGGCAGCAAGTGCCTTTACTTGCTAAGCCATCTCGATGGCATTTGGGTTCTTTATTAACCATGCAGAGTTACTGCTAGTGTTTGGATGCTTATCCCCTTCAAAATTCATGTTGAAATTTAATTTCTATTGTAGCAATATTAAGCGGTGGGGCACAATAAGAGTTGACTAGGTCTAAAGGCTCTATCACCTAAGGTGGGATTCTTGTCTTTATGAAAGAACACATTCGGCCCACTGTTGACTCTTACCTTCTGCCTTCAGGTGACATAATGAAACTCAAGACTGTATACCAATGAATTTCTGTTTATTATAAACTAATTGGCCGTTCTGTTTAGCAGCAATAACAGACTAAGAGAGTTTTGTTTTAGGAAAATAAAACTTCAAAGAAATTCAAAGTTTTAAAAATAAACTGTTCATAGAAAAGGTGCTGAAGCATTTTAGATATGGAGAAGAGAACACTCTCTGGCAAGTTGAGATATATATGGGAATGGACAGGGTGATGATTACATATGGAAAAGTGATAAAGTTGGTGTTTAGGTTCCCAGAGATGATCACATTGCCCCAAGTATTTCTGTTGGGAAGTGTTGGCATCCACCACAGTTATTTTTGGTATCAATCCCAATTATAACTGAAGATTTGTATGGACAGTGTCCAACTTAAGGAGCATCTGGCTAGGACTCCTCATTAGACACGCCTTATTTGGACATAGAAGTTGCCTTCGTCAGGCAGCTATTGTTTGCTTGCCCCATTCTTTGGAGCATGTAGGAAGATGCCCTTCCAGCAAATGCAGTGTGGTTGGTGAGTTCATCCTTGGTAGTCAGAACCAGCTTTCTCCTCTTTTTCCCACCATAGGCCACTCTCCCATTGTCAGTGCCCATCCCTGTAACTTCCACATGATCCAGATGGGGAACTGCCTGGTGCTTCACATTACACACTGAGAAACATTTTCCTCTATTGCCCTCATTG